ACACACACACACAAACACACACACAAACACTTACGCACACGTGTGCGCGTGCGTACACACACACACACACACACACACACACACACACACACACACACACACACACAGAGACAAACACACACACATGCACATCTGGTTGTACTCCTTAGAGGATACAAAAACATATCTAGAGATGAAATTTTCCATGAACTGCAAATTCACAAGCTTTACAATACAAACTCACTACTCGCCTGCTTTATGTCGTATTTAAGGACTTGCTTCATGAATGTGGGCAAGCCTGTGAGAAGTGTGTAGTGCATCCAGTTGTTACACAGGTGAGCGCCCAGGCACATCCACATTGCACGTGACTTGACCACTGACTTCCAGGGTACTTTGAATTTCTGAAACGAAATAAAACTCGATTTTTCCCCAAACGTTAAACAGCTGGACTGGTCGAGTACGCCACTGGTAGTTCTTCAGTTCTTTATGCTTTCTCTGATGCTTCCGTCTATATGTACCAGTCTTGCTTTTCCTGAGCATTGAATAATTGTTGCGTTGATGCGCTCTTAGATTCTTTGGGGGCAACAAAAAAACTCTTTGAGAACTCATTTAGAGAGGAATGATGAAAACGAGAGAGAGGCGGGGTGTAGGGGGAGAAAGAGAGAAAGACTTTGCTTTGTCGTTGTCATTCTACTCTCATTATCATAACTATTGCCTTTTACTATTAATACTAGTATTATTAGCATTGTTATCAGTATTGACATGTCATCACCACCATGAGATTGATATCGTTTTCATCATTATTATGATTATCATATATCTTAATGATTATATATAATTGTTGTCATCATTCCTGATGCTACTACGACTGCTGCTGTTTTTACTGTTGTTGTTTTGTTGTTGTTGCTGAGAACAAAATAACAGCCCCTTAAACTGGTTTCATAAATTACTCATCGAAAAATATCATTAATTTATCAAAACAAGTTTGTTGAAATACCCAGAAAAGAAATCAAACCCATCCGTCCAGCTGGAATCGTTTTTGATATGTTGAGATACTAGATAGCCAAAGGCACAAAACATCCGTTGAAAATGGACACTTTGGGCACTTTTTGTGGAAAGCAGACAAATTATTTTTAAAAAACGTTCTGTTACAACTGGACCGGTAAAAAAACGATGTGTCAAAATAAGACTCGTAGGCACCCTGCTTAATTACCTTGGTCTGTTTGTCTCCCCTGTGGCTGACGATGTAATCTCGCTCTGCCTGTGAGATGCTGGGGTGATCTTCCGGGGAGTCGTACACGAACACAAACCACGCAAACACCCAGATGAACGCTGCACCTCCTGAAAAGAGGCAGTTTCAATGATGAATGAATAGCGCCTATAGCATTCTTTCGATCTGCAGGCGGCGCTGGTGTTATTATAGCAGTTTGTTAACTTGATCTAGGAACAGGAAGTTCGAGGTTCGAAACGGAGTGAGTTCCGAACTATTTTTTCTGTCTGTCTGTCTGTCTGTCTGTCTGTCTGTCTGTCTGTCTGTCTGTCTGTCGTCT